TAAATCACGGTCAGCCCTAGCAGGAACGCGATATCGAAACTTTCACGTCTCAAAAGTGACACTAAATTAACGCGTAAAAGTTGACCAAAAAGAACGCAATTCAATTGTTACTCGCAATCAAGTTTCATTCAAAATTATGACGAAATTTGGGAGACACAAATGAAAAAATTCCGACTTGTAAGAGGGAGGAAGCTGATCCCATAAATTCACGAGTCCCGTTTTTATCAAAACACGTTATTTCCTTAAGAAACCTCAAAGCGGTAATAAACGGATTTCCCGCGTGATAACTAACCGATTATTTAAACTCAAATATTTATTTAAAACTCCAAGCGGTGTTTTTTCCGAATATTTATCTCCGGTCGTAATAATGCAAACAAAATAGGAATTAGTACGTCCATTTTGTAGATGAGTATTAGTCTTAACATACTTGAAATTCGTTGTTTATCTACAAGTCAAGAGATGTCAAGAACAAAAAATAAAAACAAATAATATTATAATTTTAACAATTTAAGATTTTCTGAATATCTTTAAAATTTGTAATATACCTTGACGAGCTCAATATTTCCATTACCGAATCCATACGACGTGACATTTTAACCCACGACTATGACTCAAAAAATTAATTTACTCGATAATGATAATTTATAACAATCAAAACTAAAAATTTTTTACTTTGGGCACCCACAACGCGCGCGCATACGACCACACACACAAACACACACGCACGCGTCTTCCTTAATCCAAAATATAGGTAAATCGCCACATGTTAAGACACTTCATGCATTTAATCATTCGAAGTGACTTTTTTTTTTCAAAATTTTCGAAAAGTGACCTTATATTCTTATTAACTTGACAAAATATAATGTTGTGTCCATGTCTCTATCTGCACACGGTATGCAGAAACCGCCGCGATAACGTTTTATGCTCCGTCCGCCTGACTGAAAACTGAAGCTTGTACCGGATCGCGAGTCGACGATGGCGGCGGTGGTGGTGATGGTGGCGCATTTGCCGCCCCACCACGATCATGAAGAAGACCACGGAGAGCCGGTCAGCGCACTCTACCGAAGTCAATCTACCTGTGTGCTCTGTCGTCTATCGTAAATGACATGCAGTAATGTACGGTTAGTTCTTTGCTCCGGTCAAAGCTCTGAAAACACGAATCGGCTTAATTATCAACAGATTATATAAATTGTTCTTTTTTTCTCAACTCGCACTATCAAATTTTATTACAATTTATATAATTCACCAAATAAAAACTTTTGAACACAACCAGCAAACAATTTTGCGTACACCTTTCACCCGTTGACCAGCATTTGAAATCCTAATAGAAATAGTTGAACTTTAACATCACATAACAATAATATTTGCACATGTATTTTTCTCGAAAAATGTTTTCATCCGCCGATGTTTGCAGTTCAGATTTCTCCAATTTAAATAAATAGGAAAATGTTGGTTAAGTCGAAACTTTCAAAACATACAAAAACGATAGAATAAACCACAAAATGCTATACTTTATGGTTAATAAAGTGGAAAATGTAAACTGTATCTAAACTTACAAATCACTTCATGTAACACCAAAAACTAATTTAAAAAATTATTACATTAAATAATTAAGTATGTAGAACCCCAAACAACACAATAACTGAACAATATGCTCGTAAAATATTCCCAACAAATTTATTAATTTACTTATGCATAAATTGTAACATATTCATTTTTACTTTTAATTGGTTTTAACTTGGCTTAATTGGGTAGTTAAGATTATATAATTAATTTGATTAGATCATAAATTGTTTACTGAACAAAGCTAACAAAAACAGAAATTATGCCTAATTACAAACAAGTTGATTAAACTGTTGGACACAAAATAAAATAACACCCACTTTAATAACTTACAGAAACACTTACGTTGTAATTTTATACAAAAAATATGTAATATGAAAAAAGTATACCTAAATTATGTTTATTACGAGTAACTTGGTTGAGACAAAACTTTGCAACCCTCATCACGTCGTACTATCGTAGCCGATTCCGTTCGTTTTTTCAATGAAGTGAAACAAAGTAAAATTTGGTAGAATTGTATCCCCATTATTTAATGCACAACTTTTCCCCTAAAAAAAAATTAAATATTCCAAATGAGATGCAAAATAAAGACTAAAAAATATAACTTTTTTCTAACAAAATTTCGTCTACAAAATATAGCTAACCGACTTTTCTCAATGGAAAATAAACTAAAAACATAAATTTATTAAAAGAAAAACAAAACATGCGTTTTATTAAAAATTATAAACCAATTACCCTGATTACTTCAATACAACATAAATATTTCCAAGTTTTTTTACAAAATTAATTATAAACGTATCACGCCCAATTTGTCACTTTTAAAGCCGACTCAACACCTGAAGTACGTAATTTTCCTTCAATTTTCCAGTCACAAATCGATATAATTCAGCGCGTTTAAAATGGGAATGAATTTTCTCTCAGACACAACTATAAAGGATAATCGATTTCTTCGTTCTAGTGTTTCAAATGTTCTAGCTTATTTTGTTGAAAATGTAGCTTGATAGCTCTTTTCATTGAATTGTGGTTTTCGCTTTGAAACGTTTTCCTCAAGTTTTCAAATTGCAACAAAAGTGTCTGACCCGTACGCATTGCGGGAGTTAAAATTTTTTTTACAGGACTTGTGGTTTCTGGCACGCTATAACATTTAGTCGAGTGATAAATGTCCGGAACGGTCACTACATATATTAGCAAAGATTTAATCTCCTACACTGTGTATACTATTTTTCACACTTCGTAGATTATTAATAATAATCATCAACAAACACGAAACATAAAACTATCATAAACTTTTACTTCGTTTTGACCATAAATCACTTGTGCAGAAAAATTTTTGGCATCCATTCGGTATTGTTGTTCAGTTTGGAAGAGCTCAATACGTAATGAAAGAAAGTGTAACTGCCAAATTTATAATTTCACTTAAAGTGTTTCCTTAAAACCCCACACCATAGCTAATTTTTCGCAAATTCAACTTGATTTTCTATACGGTAGAGTGAATAGCAACAATCAAACATCATCTTCAAATGGCACACTAAAGAATTATTCCAGTTGAAGAGTTGTGTTACATATTGTTCAATGTTAAATCGTTTCCTTTGGAAAGACAGATACGAATATACACACATATCATCTGGCAAACGCATGTGTTACCATGTCTTAATTATCATCGTGTAATAATCGTACGAGACCTTGGAAGAAATGAACGCAGACAATGCAGATCATGAGGTTCGTTAACCGAACAGTTTCGGTTCAGGAAACTCGTGAATATGAAGAAACAGTTCAAATGTTGATCACAGAAAACTTCCCAACAAGACGTAAATTAATTTCAACAAAGGAAAATAATTAAGAAGTTAAAATTCTTTGTATTTGGTTCCCTTTCTTCTACAATTTTAATGATTCTGTTTCAAAAGCTCGACCAACAATACAAAACATTACAAACAAATGCCACAAATTCAACAAATTTAAAATTCAATGAAAATAATTATGCATCCATTAACAAGTCAAATAAACTGTGTCCTACTTGGTTGAAAATAACCACAGTTGTTCCTTTGATCGGCTCTCATCACTTGTCATATTATAAATAAATGACAAACATTTTGTATTTTCTAGGTGACAGATATGTGTCTATGATTTATTTGTTAAGCCAACAGTGTTGCAAAAATCCTTTGAATCAATAGCGAAAAATTCACCAAACACAACTCGTGACAGTTAATTTTTCACGATGCGGAATTTGATCATGACATGACAGAGCTTCAAACGGGGCAAAAAAGCTCTCTAGCGAGTAAAGTTCACGGTGTCCGTATCAGGAAGGGTGAAACACACCCTCCTCATGCTCTAAAAGCCTCTAGGTGCGGCTTCGTCGAAAAGGGTGCAGCCGATTCAACCTAATATGAGTTCAGGGGTTCGACTACCAAACACGCGATCTAGCGTGAGGATCTCTTCACTTCATTACTGAAGTCCCAATTAAAATATATCACCGTTTTCTGTCGTGCGGTATCACTGAAATATTCGTATCGCTCTATCGTGCCGAATACCGAAATTGTTATGCATAGAAATATGTCTTCTAATTAATATAATGGACCCCTCTGTAATAATCGTTCTCGTGGATAATATTATTATGAATTTAATTTAAAAGACCACAAATAAATCGTACATTTTTGCACCCCAACGCTGATGAATAAGCAATTTCAACTTGATTAAATTACTTACGTAGACTTTTACACAATGTTTTTGCACTAATTAACTCTTATTTTTTACATAACATGGGTATAACATATTGAAAAAAAAATAGATAAAAATCGTTGGTTTATTAGTCTTATTACAGACAAAGGTTTTTTGGTGAAAAAAAGCCCTATAAACGAATTATGACACATTTACAGCAATTTATGTAATTTGATAAGAAAGATTATTGCCCAAAGGTTTGTTCAAGTAAATTATGCATGTACTTAGAAGTACGTGTATTTATGTGAAAGTTGATTGATAATGTTCCGCTTATATCACACATCCGTATAAGAAAATATTTTTCGTAAGAATTGGGGCATAATAATGCGAATTTTTTCATCTACATCTAGTACTACTCTATTTACAGCAATGCCTTCAACGAAAGTTCCACTTTTTAAAGCCTTGGAAAAGAAAACAAAAACTTACACTTCTTATGATCAATAGAAACGATTCGTAACAACTTTTCTTTTAGTAAATAGATCACTAATTCAAAAACGTCATTGCGTCTAGTAACTTTTTTAAATTAAGTTTCTCAACTTTACCACAATTAATCAACAGCAAATATAAAAAACTATAGCTCATGACAACAATACTTGATTCAAAACAATTAATTAATGATAATTTAAAATAAAAAAGAATAAATAAGTTTTAATAATAATAAATTAGTTAAATTTTTTATTCATATGAGCTTTGGACATTTTGTAAACATTTTTCCAACTTACCTGCACATCAAAATTATGTTGCTGTTGCTGTAAAACGGCATTGTCAACTTGATGTTGTTGTGGTGGAGGTGGTGGATACTGATGAGGTTGTTGGTCATAGGGAGCAGGCGGTGGTTGTTCAAAATGGTCAAATTGTTGATTAACAGATTCGGTTAATGTCACCCCCAAATGAGGTGCCAAATGAGGTGGTAAATGATGATGTTGTAAGTGTGGTGGCAATTGTTCTTGCGGTTTCATAACCACCACAGTAGGATCCAACGATATTCCATTTTTGGTAAGCTCTTCTTCTGCCGGTGATGGTTGTCGGCTACCGGGCGTTCGACTGAAATATTACACGAACAGTTACAAAAATACAGGATAATAAAAACCAAAGTCGCAGTAAAAGACTAAATAAATTCTTATTTCTTATAATGCAACAATAAAATTTTAATTATTAATTTAAAAACTTTCTTAGATTAAATTCCTCATTGTTTCAAGAAACAAAAGCACAAGAACTGCATATTTTGCATATATATTGATGCTTTTCATAAAGTTCAGTGTAGAGAAATGTACAATTAAAATCTTGCTTCAGTCGTTCAGATGGCGCCACATTATAGAACCTAGCGCAAACTTTTCTACAGATCACTACAAATTGAAGTTAGATGACGCCACCGCCCGGTGAGCAGATTGCCACTTTACAGTGTTGTAAAAGTGGTAGGGGGACCATCACCTTGACAACCGACGAACAAAACATGCACGTGTCATTGACTCGACCCAAGGTAGAGATCAGACCTTGAGCGAAGAATAACGAACTGTCGGCCTTCCTTTGCAAAGTTTCAGCAGAAACAAAATCAACTGCCAGTTCTGCAATTCGGTCGACGTGTTATTATTATTATTATTATTATTATTATACACACGACCCAGAAAATTAATTAAATGATGGCTGAAATAAATGGGCAATTTACAATACAAGTTATTCACGTTAGAAAAAACTTCTATTAAGCAAATTTTTCATGTTTCCCTTGAATAAGCTTAAAATACTAACAAATAGTTAAAATGTAATAAATTAAAAATACGGAAAGTATTTAAAAAAATATGATTAACGAATTGTCAACATTTAAGCTTAAGCATATTTCGACAAACGGAAAATTACTTATAAAGTCGAGGTCAATTCATAGCGGCCATTTAATTTATTGCAAAGTTGGCAGCCCCTAACCCGCCACCTCTAGTGTGTGGGTTGTGTCTATGTTGGCAGCAGAAGTAACTAAATTGTGTGTCGACAATTGTGACAGGCGCAGTGGATTTTACATGTAAAGTATCCTAACCCGACTTTTTTAAAATTGTCATTTTTGATAGATATGTCCCTAAAAACCAATTGGATGTTTAAAGACGGATTTACACAACTCAATTTTTACAAATTTACACAAGGGAAGTGGCCACTATGAATTGACTGCGACTTTAAGTATTTAGGGCTTATTCTGTAACTATCAACAAACCCTTTAAATTTTTTCGTCGTTCCGTGTTATAGTATGAATAACATTCAACAATTTACAATCGTTAAGCTGTCAATAACTAGTAACACTAGTAACTCACAGGTCGGTTATATCGGTTTTAATAACCCGCTTTTTTTATAACGTGGGCGTTATAAAAGCTGGGGCTTTCTGACAGCTTTGACAGTTTAAACCTTCAAATATTGGCGTGGTTAAGTTAAAATATTAAAATTTATTTTTTTGAAATATGGTAATTTAATACAACGGAAAACGTTGTAGGTACCACGCGCTCTTAAAGGGCGTAACGACCGTGGAAGTATTTGATGAGTCTCAAACAACTCCCACGGTCGTTATGGCCTTGTTAACAGCCCTGAATATGTAAATAACTATAACAGGGAGTAGAAAAACAAAAAAAATAAAATCTGGTTGGTGGTCACTATAGCATTAAGTTTTAGAGATCGTTAAAATTAACAATCGAATCGCCACCAATTTTTAAAAAAATACCTTTCAACAATTTTAAGAAATGAACTAATACTGAATCACAATGGATTTCCTAAAAGCTCTAATACAGTTACCAATAATTAGAAGAGCAATATTTAACAGCAACATTTAGTTTATATTAAACAGACTAATAGCACAGACATGGTAAACTGTAAAATCATCTACCGTATGTGAAATAGTTTTAATCTGAGTTCTTTACAACTTCCGCTGATAAGAAAACACAAACCTTACATGCTTAAAACCGTTACTTCCGAGACGTATTGGGTAATTTAAAGATAGATCAATTTAAAATTAAAAGTCAGAATTTTGCAAATAAAACTTATACGAAGAAATCTCAGTATATATACAGGGTGTCTTTTTTAAAACTTGCAATCGCCAATATCTCTGAAACTAAAAAAGTTATTGAGAATCACTCAAAACCGTTTCGGTAGTTTTTAGGGGGAATCAAAATGGCATGGTAAGTGACGCTCCTCCACCCACCCTTCAAGCCACAGCCACCTTAAGTTGAAAATTTTAAATGGCACGACCCTACTTGCGATACATCGTTGGAAAGCCCATAACAAGCGCTTTTCAAAAATGTCATAGAACAGCCTATTTGGTAAAGTTATTTTTCCAATTATTCAAAAACGAAGACGTTAAATTTTCATTTTTTTTACTATATTCAAGAGTGGGTGGAGGTGTGTCACTTATCATGTCATTTTAATTCCCCCTAGGAACCACCAAAACGGTTTTGAGTGATTATTAATAACTAATTCAGTTGAGAGAAATTGCCGATTGCAAGTTTTAAAATTGACACAGTGTATATATATTTTAAACTAGTTGGCCTTGAAAAACAGAACTTGAATCTGATTTCAATTAGCAGCTCTCATCAATACTCACATCGATCATGTTCTTATCCTACGCTTTTTTTCTAATTTTCAAAGTTAATTGGTTACGGCTGTAGACATTCACATGTAAAATGCAATAACTTAAAAAAAAAACAAAATTCCTTTAAAACTATAGCACTTTAAAATAAAAATTTCAAAAATTATCAATCACTGCAGCTAATTTCCGCTAGAATTAATTACCCCCTGGAATAACTGTTAAAAACCAGAGCACTAATGTGTTACAAACCCACCCCTCTAAACATGTAATACATCTTGTATCAAACTCACTTGAAACCCTTTTCGTCTTCTGAAACTTGACCATTTTGAACCGTCTGTCCGTTGACTTCCTCTTTCGGACTTTGTGGTTTATCTTTATCTTTGTCATCAACCAAATGCAAGGCACGCATCCTAGGTTCGAGTCCAATGTTGTCTTTGTTAGTTGGTGAACCACCTAACACATATTCCACCATTTTGACGCCGAGACCTCCTCCGTTGTCGGACCCTCGAGGCGAAAGTATGCTGCCAGTATCGCCTCCTACGAAGCCTCCTCGTCGACCCATGGCAAGAGACGCCGACACCGCATGTTCTGCAAAAAATATTAAAAATATTTTCTTAAGCAATTACGCTCTATCAAAATTATCAAAAAAATAAAAAAATAACAATCTTTGCATTTCATTGTACTATTATTACTAAGAACAGACATATGTGAATAATCAGTCACAGACATTACTTTTAAGTAAGATTTGCAAAACTTTGAACATAGCATAACTAAAAACTTCTCAATAAATAATATTGAACAAGGTTCTATTCTAATTCCTGCAACAAACTAAAGACGAGAAAACTTCATCGAAAGTTTTTAAAGCAAACGCGTGAATGATTTTAGCATAGTTCGAATTAAAATTATACAATTTCATATTTGAACCAATTTCAATTGTTCTCTGTGACTAAAAAAAATTACATAAAACTTATAATAGAGTTGCTAATTTGCCAAATTCATTCCATTACCAGGTATTTTAATTAAATTTTACCTCAAATATGTAACACTTACCACAAAATCAATAACAATTATCAACTTAACTATTTTAATTTAAAAAAATAGGGTATTAAGAATGTTCGTGCATAAAACGTTTATTATACCAGAAATTAAAACACAAAATTGTTCCAATGATTGTTAATTTTAAAAACACTATTGCATAAACAAGTAATTTAGTAGATTTATGCATTCGATGTTGTAAACTTAATTACGACTTAAAAATAACAAAATCTAAAAACTCTTCGTCAACCACGAGAATCTCACACGTGTGTTTTACAACGCCATGATATTTCACAAATTAAACTACACACGGTTTTAGTGTTGGTAACTAAATTTTCCAACACAGTGAGCAGACATTTAACGAACAAACATAAAAATTAATTTCATTTGAAACATACACTTTGGAGCCTGTACAGATAAGATTTCTTGCAGTAATTTGGTACGATTTACTTTGTTTTTCAAACATGTTTTCAAACAAACATGCTTACCCTATGGTTAAATTAAATTTGAAATGTTATATGTTTAAAAAGGGTGTAATTACTATATTTTTTTACTCTGAAAATACGAGTACACAAAATGAACACGAATATCATTTTAAAAAAACATTGATATTGTATACTCATTTTGTTTCAGTGTAATGTGTACTGATATTATGCAATATTGTGGAAAAAGCAACCTTTAATGAATCATTCGTTACACACGAAAAATCGGAGCTTAAAAAAGTACAATTAATTGCCTACTGACAGAAACTTTTAATGAGCTACAAATGAAAAATAGGGAAACGTAATAGCTTACAAAAAATGTAATATTATAACAATATTGCATTGGTTTAATTTAACCTATGTCATAATTCTATTTCTTCTTCATAACATTCATTATTCACAAAAAAAGCCTCGAAAATAACAAGTGTATTTTGAAGTACATTTAAGTGCAAGTAACGCAATAATTTACTTAATTTGTGGTTATCCATTATTCTTTTGTTAATACGAATACCTTACTTTGTCGCATTGTCAACGATTTCTTAACTTACAAAAGCATCGATTAAATAAACATTAAAATTTGCGATATTAAGGACAGGGTCCGGGCTTTACCTAATAAACATAAATTAATATTTAAACAATAGAACGACCTGAAAAACTTCATGTAACAACATACTACTGCATACATTTGCGCATTTTCGTTGAACTAAATTTCAACATGCAACAAAGTTTGGCTGTAACTTTTGCCGCATGTTCCAAGAATGATGTTTGATGCGCTAAACAAAGCGTTGTTGCGTCTCTCTAAACGTTGCTTTGATTTTTGTTAACCAAAAAAAACTCACGCTGTATTAACGTGAAACTGTTGCAGAAAATAATAAATTACAGCGGGGCTGCTTTTCACAAATACGAAAAGCATTATGTTTTGTAGAATATGGTAGTAATACAACAAAACATGCAAGTTAGCCATGTTTGTATCAAAAATCAATTGATACAAACAACAAAGCCATTTCTAAACTCTTCAATGTTTTTACAAGTTAAATATTTTAAATTATTAATAATTTTATTATTATAAAAACGCATTTTAATATTTTCAAAGGGAAATTTTGTAAACCACTTCACTTCTTTAATTTAAGGTTGCCTTGAATTAACAAAAAATGGTCATCGCATTAACATATGCGTCAAGAATAACTTTCAGTGTCATATTAAGTAACGTCTGAACCCACACTCATTTTTAATTAGATATAATAATAATAATAAGCATTTAATAGAACTAAATATCTTCCCAGCTGAATCAACAAATTACAAATAGTTTCAATTATTACAATTTTAAAAAACTTGCTTAAACTTTGATCACTTCTTTATTTTTATCACGTGACCAAGAATAGACCAATATAGTTCTCATTTCAAGTCACGTGACGTTAGCAAGTTGTTTGACACCACATGGTGCACTGTTTGTTATCCATGAATACGTACTTCTAAAGCAAACGAAATAATTACGATATGTATTTGATGTTAAAATTAGTTGTTGGCTATTCACTTAAAAATTATTATAAAACCAAGTAAACACAACAGTAATGATTAAAGATTCTTCCTTATTTAAATTTAAGACTGTTTAATTTGACAAAATATGTATGTCCTCTATGATATCAACCAGGAACCTGTAGAATTCACACCTTGAACTTATAGGTTTAACCTAAACCTAATATAAATAATTAATAAACACACAATAAATTAAAATGTTCAATTCAAGTTTTAACTACCGTCTGAAATTATAAAGCTGTCTACGTAAAACGACATGTCCTCAATATTTTTGATTTTTTATTTCGTTTTACTTTAACTCATATATTATGCTAAAAACTACTACAATATTCACTAGGGAACAGCACCATTCCATCTATACATTACAGCCTACATTTAAATACACAATTATAAGTGTCCACACAGAACGTCGTTCTTGTCAATACAATTTACGCAGGATTGAGATGTAAGTATTTAACAAAAGTAAAGTTAAAATCTCAAGAATCCTAAACAAAAACGTCCAACAATTTCATCATTTTGCAATTTGCGATAATCACATTACAACTTTGTAATAACCCATAATACAGTAACTTTGCAGTTTATCTTATTATAAAATCCAGAGACAATGGGTTAGCTCTCGCCTTACCATCGTAAAACTTTAACCGTTTAAAATTTTCTAAATGTCAAAATGAAATATAAAAATGTACCTACATTATTTCGTCATTTTTTTACGATTTTCTTTTAAGAGAAAATAAAAATGTTTAAAGGGTTTTTAGTAGGCGAGAAGCTCCACCAGCAAATATTCAATTTACAACACACGATGTTCAGTTTGCGATGGGCGTGCCGGGCGTCGGCAGCAGTCTCCATGGTCACGTCGGCGTCTGTTACCCTAGCAACTACCCTGGGCATCCAAATTCAATCAGTCACCGTCGCAAACTATAGTAACCAACAGCTTGTGAACTAGGAAACAACGCCATTTTTATCAATCTCGTCGATAACAACATCTACTAGGAATCAAAACATTATAAATCTATTTATTACGAGAGTAACATTGATTTTTCGAACTGTGGTACACACAGAAAAATCTTATTTCTTACGTGAACAGATGTTGTTAGGTATAAATTAAAACTAATTATGAATGTTGGGAAAAATTATGTAGTCAAATGTCAAGATCACATTTTTACAATTTAATTATTCCGACGCTTTGCTAAAATCAACAAACCACGACTTTTACTTTAATCAAATTAAATTAGCTTCAAAATGGTTACCACTATGATTATAAATCCATATATCAGGAAAGTCACTTAATTATTCATTTAATCTATAAATGTAATGTAAAAGTTTGCGAAATATGAAAGTTCCAAGAAACCTCGTCTTCTTTGGATTAAATTAGATGACTTTTCTCGTAATATTCTAATGTCACTTTTAAGTTTAATATCAAAAAATAATCTCACGTTACGTAAATTAAAAATTTTTATCAATATTGCTAAAAATATGTATTATGTATTCATTATTTTGCATTAATATTGTGCAACTAAAAAGGAAAAACTGCACGATCTTTCCGGCTTTCACCTAATCGCAAAGATTCCGATTTGTCAAAAATATTTAAGATACTTTGATCTTCCATAAAATCATTATAATTTTAACTATAATTTTAATTACTCGTAAATAAACTACCTCAATATTTTACACAGAATCAAAAGAATGAGTACAGTAGGACCCCTCTATAACGAGAACTTAAGGGGCCAACGTATTTGTTCGTTATAACCGATTTTCGCTATAAACAATCATGGATAATAAAAGTTTTTACACATGTACTATGTAAAGTTTAAAACAATATTTAAGAAAAAAATCCCTAGCTTTTGTTTGTTTTCTGTAATGAAGCATTTTTATTTTATCAATTGCAGTTTCCAATTGTACAAGGCTCGTGTCCTCGTTCTTTAAAATTGTTGCCAACATAGAACTCGCTAAATTTTTCTCTTTGCAGATTACACCTTGTTTTTTACCACTTTCGAACTCTCAGAAAATCATTTTCTTTTCCAGGACGACATATTGATACATAAAGACGAAGTGTTCTCTGCTTGAAAAGTTGTTCAAGACTGAGAAAATAAGAAAAATAAGACCACTAACACGCAAAAACATTTCCAAAAAAATATCTAGTACACAATACGTAATGAAGACTCGCAGGATTTTTATTTCCTCTACGAACTCTCGTTATAACCGATCTGTTTCCGAGATTTCTCAGAATTTTTTGATATTACCGATCTTAGACAAAAGAAAAATTTTGCTATATCCACCTCAATTCCAGAAAAATATTTGCTATAGAGGGAAAATCTGACACAGTAGTATACAAAACGGCGAGAGACCAGACGATTTACTCGCTATAGCCACTCGTTACAGAGGAGTTCCACTGTATTAAGTTTTAAAAATACATTCTTCCTTAATTACGCAGCTGTAATTTAATTTTTTGATTTCACACAGGCTGGGCAAAGAATTTCATAATATATTTCCTTTGGAACACAACCAGTTGAAAACATAATTTTATCAAGGTTACTTCTTGCAGATTCAGCTGAAATATTTTCGCTAGAACTGCGGAAAGTTGATACATGACCGTATCACCAGTTCCACGAGAATAATAAAAAGTTGTTTATCATTATCAAGAAGAAGGTAAAATACGAAGGATCAAAATTCACGTCTCAGGTGTAACCTTCTTTTGTTATAAATCTTTCAATTCTCTGAATTCAAATTGGTATAAATTGTCTGAAAAAACACCTTCACAGTTCATACTTACCGAAAGCTCTTACTTAGCAAGGCATTTTGTGAAAACACAAAACCAGGCATGTATTTCGAGAAAAAGATAAATCGATCTTTAGTTTTTGAGTACAACTTATCCGCACTGACTGTTGTTTATTAGGCAAACAATAGGTTTTAAATGGCAATATAATAAATTTGAAATCGCCAAATGCGTTGTAAACATGAAAACGTGATCCAATCATAACGCGCCTAATTAATTTTTTTACTGGCATAAGTGATTTTACCTAGTAAACAGCAAATGTCATGTATTTTTCACAATTATTTATTGAGAAGTCGATAATAATGACGTGAAACAATCTACACCTAGTGACAAAACTAACAATTAAAAACTCACCTGGTGCTGCCCATGTTGAATCTCTCCATACTTGCTCGTGATTTAAGTGATTCAATGCTAATGATTTTGCGTCTTTTGCTTCGAGACCCCATAGTTTTTTTGCTGCGGGAGCAATCTGAAATGAGACAATTCTCTAAAATGTTTGTAAAATAAATTGATTAGTTTACTACAAATCTTAATCTATGAAAAAATTAAACCATTGCAATTACCTTTTTTAAAGTTACTATAATAAAAATGCGATTTCACGTACATGTTACAACAAACTTAACTGTTAGGTATAATCGCTATTGGGTTAAGGACAATACCAGTACTGTGATAACTAGTTTCTAAATGCCGTTAAATTTTTTATTTACAACAGTAAGAAAATTATTTCTAATAAGACATTACTTCAGCTTTGTTTAAATATTTTTTATTAACTGCGTTCCTGCCATGGTGTCGCATGTAAAACTAATATTTTTCTTTATCTTCTGAATGAATGAATATTTTAAAAATGTTCTACGCTAGAATCAAAAGGTCTTGAAAAAAAAACAAAGATTTTGAGAAACAATGTAGTGCGGCATTGGTTTGTTTACTTGTATTTAATATGTAGATTACTTTTAAGTCATACGTACTAGTAGCAGACGACAATTCAAAACTAAATCATTAATAAAAGTTTTAAGCACTAGAAATTATTTTAATTGATCTAAAAATTTTAGTTTTTGGTCTCAAAAGAAGATTTCGATTAATCCACTTTTATAAATTACTTAAAAATGCTCTCGTACGTACAATCGTGTAGTTAGAAAAGACCTTGGAATGATTTAAATTACAAGTAGTAATATTTTGCGACATTTATTATTCATAAATTATTCCGATATACCCCGTATGAATATCCCAGTTTTACCAGTTTCTTGCAAAGTTCAAATCCCTATTATTATGCGAGAACCAAATATTTAAAGTAAATACAACTCGATGAAATGGTATGTGCACCCCTCCTAGAGGATACAATAATCCAGGTGGTAAGGCCTAAAAGATTTTAAGAATTTAAAAATTTCAACTAAAACAATCACGTTCGGAGAAGAAAACCCAAGAGCCTGTGTTTTCTTGAACGACAATTAAATGCGTAAATAGTGAACAATAACAACAACAAGACAACTAAATGTAGCAAGGTACTTTTTTTTTTAAACTTTATTGAATTGTTGTTAGAAGAGAAAATTCCAATTTTGCATATTTCAATTTCTTTTTTACGATCGGAAATTCTTAATATCTCTCTAATAGACTTCCAAATATTGCGAAAACCTATTACGAGATTTAAAAAACTGATTAGAATTCCCAGCTCTAATGACAGGTAAACAATATGTAAAAACAAAATCTACGATACACCATAAAATAGATTCACTTTAAACTTCCAGAAAATTAACAATTTATCATCCATTTTTAGCACATGCAATTCATCATCATTTATCACCCGCTAATACCGGCAGTTCTAAGTTTTATCCGTTCAGTAATATTTTCCCCTCTGGAGTGAAATAAATTTACCCAACAGGTTAAACTTGAATCAAACTAAAAACTGCAGGGTTGTAATTAAACAGGCAAATCATATCATTTGTAAAAAGGGTGGCGAGGTCGCGACCTGAGGGGTCTTTGGCCTAGACCTCGTCGGCCAGCCAGACTACCGGTCGATACTCGGGCACCGCACCCGTCGCACTGCACCCGCACGTTATAATCGGGCGGCGCCAAACCACCTGCACTACGACACCGTCGTCATACATCTTAGGGGTGAGTGCAAAAGCTTTCGTTCATGCCGGAATCTCGGAATAATCTTAAAAAACAATTTTAATACTTTCACAATAGTTTGACGCTAGTATTTATAATAGTTACCAAACTATTGATATTGGTGCAAGACAGGCGTCTACTAAACCCTCAACTTATAAATTTATAACTCGTACGCGGATTATTTATCTAATTTAAATTTTAAAAACATTTGCGTTCGAAGATTATACAATGCTAAAATGTCATCTACGTGCAACTGTTTTGTAATATGTTGTAATTTTTTGCAATGATACAAAGATTTAACGTAAATTTAAACAAACCTTATCTATTCTTGCGCTCTAAATCACAAATGTTTGCCAAAAATTTAATTCAGACGTAACATACGTAAAAAGTATTTTTGAAATTAATATCTAGGTGTTCAAAATAGCTCTAGACAACTGTACCACAACTCTGATAAAAGTTTTATTACACAGTAAAAATAAAAGTAACTATGAATATTTAAAATATGTTTTATTAGAATAAGTCAATACCTACTTTATACAAATTCCCAGCTAAAGAGAGAATAATTTCATAAGAAACTATACTATTTACTTCACATCTCTCTTTAGTCAATTACTAAACTCCGGAAAAGATAAAGCTTTCTTGACCTTCTCAAATCGCAATATTTTTAAAACTTCAACGATGTATTTGGCATGCTTTCAAATTCAATCTTACATCAAACAATATTTTAATTTAACATCACAAAAATTATTATCATAAAAAATTACCTAAATTACCTGTAAATAAATAATAAATTTATCATTAGGCAACAGTAGCTTATGGATGCACTTAAAATAATTATTTAATGAGTTATGAAATTATAACAAAACTCATTTATTGTAACATGACGTCAAAATGACACGTTAATTAACTTAGTTTCTATGAAAATGTAATAATTAACTTGATTTTGGTTAAAAAAAGAAATAATCTCTGAAGCTTGCAACACAGAAACAAACCTTATAAAGTCTAGCATTTATTCTGCTTTCATGTTGTAATTGGTTACGTTTCAAATTTACCTCATTACGAATTCATTTCTTCAATCAAAACAAAAAGTAACTGAACCAAACGTAAAGAACCTTCACATTAAATAAATAATTAAACAGTCTTAAAATAAACAAGATGACCCAAATATTATTGAATTTTATACAATCCCTCGAAAAACCTGACTTAGTATCGCTGGAATTTAAAAAGATCAATAACGGTCAGGAAGAAACTGGTAGTCAGTAATAATGATTACAGTTCACTCGATCTCCAGGGAATTAAATCCTCACTCATGCCTGAAAAGAAAGTGATAACTGAAAAAAAGAAACAATTCCCTTGTAGAATCCCTGATGGTTAGTTAACTCTTCTGACCCACAGATAAAATAATATTCTTTTCAATGTAATAGGGAACTTCTTCAAAATACTTTATTACGTTAAATCCATAAAATGAACTAAACACGAAAATACTTGAAAAACTTTTGCAGGTGCAATTCCGAGTACTTTAGTAGAAGAGCATTCTACTATTCAATCCTTTTACAAGAATATCTTATGCAATTTTTATTACTGATGCAACGCGATTGCGCGGGGGCGAGGCAATAACAGGCCAGATGGACGGAAGAATTATTACTTCCAACACTGCATTTATAATACGAGACATACTTCGACTTCCGCAACACCAAAAATCATTTTCTGTTGGTGAAATCCGAACCAAAGTAAATCAACCAAATTGAATGTGGAAAGATTTAGGTCATAATACCACTAAAAGTTTCAAATAGAAACATTAAGTGGCATCCAAGTTTTACACTACGCGGGTAAACTGTAAAAAAATAAAAAAGTTGAAGCTTTTTCTGTGCCAATGCTGTGACCCATGCGGTTGTATAAATAAAGACACACACTACTCATGTAAACATAAACTTTCGCGTCAGTATACATCTGAAACATCTGTTTCATAAACAAAAAGGTAAATACATAAATGACGGTAAATGACTTCCGTGGCATTCAGAATCTTGTCACGAAAGTTATGTTGAAGTTGCATATACAGTGCGCCCGCTGTCAATAACTAACAAATCCCCTCCTAATACAGTAATTTTGGTTGCGAAAAGTATTCTTATTATGTTGGCGTTGTTTCCAGTAACTAGCTCAAAATGTTTGTGAAAAATCGAACTGACGTCGTAACGATCAAAGTCGTGTGTAAACCGTTGAGCTGGCGCCAGAAAATCTCTGCACGTGTAAACGCAGCCTAATTAAAATCGTTACTACATTTTATTTTTTTTTCTCACTTTTCAACGATCGCAATTCATAATTGATCAATGTTGAAGAAATCGCACACATTTTTATTAAAACAATATTTTTTCAGTGTCATAAAAAGGCGTTTACATTTTAAATATTAATAATGTTCTAATTTTAATTACCAAACAAATAATATTTACGCTGAAAATACGCAACATTGACACAATTTCGACTAATGTAAATACACTCACAGTTCGCTCAGGAAAAAATGGACAGAACAATGGGTTATTAATTATTTTAAATGGTGATGCAGTTGAAGAATTGAACTATGCACACATCTTTTATGTTTTTTTTTTTAATTTGATATGATTATGAATGAATGAAACTCCTTTCTTAGAATTCTTAGATAAGTATATGTACCTGTATTCATAAAAAAAAAATATGTTGTTTCTTTAGTGATTTTTTTTTTGTATACAACAAAAAATGGTAAATCCATACGCAATTTTATCGTAACATAAACGTTTTTGATTACAGAAATTTAGAATTTATACAGATACTATAAATTTTCTAAAACAAGACAGTCTCAATTTTTAATAATGTGATCAATAACAACCTGCTTAAAACAACTTCGTTTCATCCTCAATTTCAAAACATGAAAAAAACCTTGATTTTGAAAATCTAAGATTAAATTTTGCTATGGTGCAACAATTAATAGCAGTAAAAATTCTGTAACATGGTGTTTCATTTTGTCGTAATCTATTTTTTAAGATTATTTATTTTACTTGTGTTGAATCAACAAAGTTTAATCAAACCCTATTCGCCCTATATTTCATTTTCACTTCTACTGCCAATAGATAGAAGTGTCAATTGTCAAATATAAACACAATGTTTTAAGTTTCACGAAAGCAGAATTAAATAGTACATACCGACGTGGGAGGTGTTTCATTACCAAGGTAAAATTTGATGAACAAGGCGCGAAGCTCCGCGGTTAACAATAAGCCGAGGTATGATGAAGCAACGACCACCAAGGTCTGTAATTTTGTAAACTATTTTTTTTATTCTCAATCAGCCTCCCAAAGAACAAAAAGCCAATAAGGATTTTATCAAATTAAAAAA